GACTGGTACACCATCCGATCTGCAACCTATACAACTATGAGACCAGAAGAACTAGATGGTGCCCAGCTACCACTGCCATCCACTTTGGAAGGTATGTAGGAGATCCTACATAAAGAGGGAGAACAATGTGGTACAAAACTCAAAATCGTTTGGAGGCAAAAAAAGAAGAAGAAGGTGGGGACCAGGTTTGCTGGTCCAATAGAGCCTGGTGTAACCACTGAGACTATGGCCCCTAGTTGCCCTTCAGGTCTAGAATTGAACCCACACCTTTTGAAGAAAAAAATTCAAGCTTTGAGTTGCAATACTGAAAGAATGTATGGGCAAAATACTGAATGACGTAGGAAACATCAAAAGAAGATTGAAAGAATACATAGAGTCATTGTACCGAAAATAACTGGCTGATATTCATTTATTTCAGGAGGTGGCATATTATCAAGAACCTGAAGGAACTGGCAAAAAATAAGTCTTGAGGAATTGACAAGATATCTATTGAGATGTTTCAACAAATGGATTCCATGCTAGAGGCACTCACTCATCTATGCCAAAAGATTTGGAAGACAGCTACCTAGCCAATTGACTGGAAGAGATCCATACTTGTACCCATTCCAAAGAAAGGTGATCCCACAGATTGTGGAAATTATACAACAATATCATTAATATCACACGCAAGTAAAATCTTTCTGAAGATAATTCAAAAACAGTTGCAGCAGTATAGTGACCGGGAACTTCTGGAAATGCAAGCTGGATTCAGAAGAGGACATGGAACAAGGGATATCATTGCTAATGACAAGATGGACGTTGGCTGAAAGCAAAGAATACCAGTAAGATGTTTACTTGTATTTTATTGACTATGGAAAAGCATTTGTGTGGATCATAACAAATTATGGATAACATTGAGAAGAACAGGAATTTCATAACATTTAATTGTGCTCATGAGGAACCTGTACAGAGATCAGGAGGCTGCTGTTCAAACAGAACAAGGGGATACTGCATGGTTTAAAATCAGGAAGGGAGTGTGTCGGAACTGAATCCTCTCGCCATACTGATTCTATCTGTATGCTTAGCAGATAATCTGAGAAGCTGGACTCCATGAAGAAGAATGTGGTGTGGCATCAGAATTGGAGGAAGACTCATAAACAACCTGCAACATGCAGACAACACAACTTTACTTGCTGAAAGTGAAAATGACCTGAAGCATTTAAAGATTACAGAGTACAGAAGATTAAAGACTACAGTCTGCAGTATGGATTACACTTCATCATAAAGAAAATGAAATTCCTCACAACGGGACTAATAAGCAGCCTCAAGATAAATGGAGAAAAGACTGAAACTGTCAAAGATTTCATATTACTTGGTTCCACAGTCAACACAAATGGAAGCGGCAGTCAAGAAATCAGATGACATATTGCACTGGGGAAATCTGCTGCAAAAGACCTCTTTAAAATGCTGAAGAGCCAAGATGTCTCTTTGAAGACTAAGGTGTGCCTGACCCAAGCCATGGTGTTTTCAGTCACATCATATGCATGTGAAAGCTGGACAATGAGTAAGGAAGACCGAAGAAGAGTTGATGGTTTTGAGTTGTGGTGTTGGCAGATACTTAAAGTACAGTGGACTGCCAGAATGAACAAATCTGTCCTGGAAGAAGTGCAGCTGGAATGCTCCTTGGAAGCAAGAATGGCCAGATTTTGTCTTGCCTACTTTGGTCATGTTGTCACAATGGACCATTCCCTGGAGAAGGCTATCATTCTTGGTAAAGTGGAGGGACAGTGAAAAAGGGGAAGACCCTCAATGAGATGGAATGACACAATGGCTGCAATGGTGGGCTGAAGTATAGCAAGGATTGTGAGGCTGGTGCAGGACCGGACAGTGTTTTGTTCTGTCATACATACGGTCACTGTGAATTAGAGCCAACTCACTGGCACCTACTACCACCACCGCCACCACCACCACCACCAAATAGAATATGAATATGGAAGAAACAGAAATCTATGGGTGTTCTCTGCCTGGCTCACTCTCTTCCTTCTAGGCAGGTCTGTGTCCGCTAGAGTGAATTTTTGCTCTCACTGTTGAGCAGGCAGGATGAGTCTGAGCTGCACTGGGGTGGCATGGTCATTTCCCTCTATCCAGGAATATGCATTCCCCAATGACATAAAGACTTGAGCACATGAACTCTGCTCACTCACTACCGGAATAACCCAACCTTTATTTTTAGGGAACTGGCCACTGATTGCTGTCAGGTAGCAAGGCAATGATACTGTCGCGTTTCACTTCAAAGGTGATCTTGTTGCAAAAGATGGCAAGTGATACTTGGAATCAAATTAGGGGAAAGTACTGGATTCTTTGACAGAGAGGGAAAAAATTACTAGCATGATAAAGACTACTGGGGACTGCTAAGTTAGTGATGTTTCCTTAGAACTGCAGCCTGGAGTTTCAGCTTGGAGTGCACTAGGGAGAACATTCCACTGAGTGGTGCTAAAAAGTCTGGAACATTCTACTGAGCAGTGCTAAAATGTCTGAGCAGTGCAGGGGGTGCACTGACTGCTGTTTGGCTCTAGAGTGAGATGGCCTTCTGGACTGTTTCCTAGGCACCCGTTGGCCACCTTTTTCCACCTGTTCTTCCGAGTGAGTGCGATTGTCACCTATATATGCTGTGACTGGTTCAGCAAAAGCTTTGTGGGCTGCTTTGTCACTGTGCTGCTCCTTCTGTCCTTGGACTTCTGGTCTGTGAAGGTAAGGCCTCTTCTTAACTGCAGTGCCATCACTCTTGAAACATGTGGCTTTGCTTCTGGAGGGTGGAGTTCTGGGTGCATGTAGTTTTAGAAAGCATAAATGATTCTGGACCAACAGATAACTTCAGTTTACATTGCTGATATGTATTTAAAAATATTCAATCAGTATCTAGTAAAATTAGTGAAAAAATACATTGCTTAGGGTTTTATAAATGTCTTTTTTGTATCGACCGTCATGTTGCAAATATGTATCATAATGAGCGTGATAGCTCCATATGGCTTTGATTTTTTGGTAAAATTTACATATATGAAACCAAAAAACTCAATGCCATCAAGTCAGTTCCAACTCATAGGGGGTTTCCAAGGTGGTAAATCTTTACAGAAGTAGATTGCCCCATCATCCTTCCACAGAGTGGCTGGTGGATTTGAACTGCCAACCTTCAGGTTCGCAGTCAAATGCCTTAGGCACGATGCCACCAGAGCTCCTTGTTTACATCTATAATATGTACATATTTTAAATACATGATATATAAATTGTATATGTATACACATACACATATGGACAAACACACACATCCTTGGGTGGCACAAACGGTTAAGCACTTGATTACTAACTGAAAGGCTGGCAGTTCAAACCCACCCAGAGGCACTTTGGAAGAAAGACCTGGTGGTCTGCTTCAGAACAGTTACAGCCCTGAAAAACCCAAAGGAGTGCAGTTCTGCTCTGATGCACAAGGCAGCACCATGAGTTGGAATCAACTTGACAGCAACTAGTTTATGTATATAAATAAAATGGGGGGAGCCTGTCACTTCCTAAGTCAGCTTAGTTAAAAATCAGACATCACCAATTTTGAGAAACCATGACCATTCAACCCCCTTGGCTTCCTGCCCCATTATATCTTTAATATCAATTGGTGAGTTTCATCTTAACCCATCAGTAAGAGTGAGGACGCTCTACTAATGGCATGCTCAAGTCAGATGGAGGCTTTTACAGTCATTTTGTCCATTTTCCTCAGAATGTCACCGGAAGACTCATGGTGGGCCTCCGATGGTGGAATCAGATAGATGAAGACGGGAAAAGCCACTGGGTATTTGAAGCCAAAAAGGTACTCCCCATCAGCAGCTGCGCTACTAGAACTGGAAAAGCAGTTGTGGAAAGCCTCCCTGGGTTCCTTTTAGGTTTGGCGTGTACCTCATTCCTTCCCTGCACAGACACACTACTGTCAGTGCTCCACTGAGATGTGTGTGCTGTACAACCACATGTCAAATAAATGCAGACAATAGCCTGCTGCTTCAGAACCATTTTACTAGTTCTGAACACCAAATTACTTCCCCACAACAGGTATCTTCTAATAACATGGCTGCCACAGAAGCTGAAGCTCGGATCTTCTGGCTTGGTCTCATTATTTGCCCGATGATTTGGACTGTGTTCTTTTTTAGCACCTTACTCTCCTTGAAGCTAAAGTGGCTGGTAAGACAACAACCTGATGGGTTTTTTTTTTAAAATAATTCATTGTTGTTGAGAACATAAACAGAACATATTTCTACATGTATGATTCAGTGACATTGATCCTTCAAGTGGTATAACCATTCTCAGCCTCCTTTTCTAAGTTATTTGGCCCTGGTTAACATGAATTCATTGCCCCTTCAGTTTCCTAATATTTCGAGTAGTTGTTATCAGTTTGATCCATCAGTATCCATTGCCATCAAGTTGATTTTGATTCATACAACCCTATAGAACAGAGCAGAACTTCCCCATAGGGTTTACAAGGCTGTCACTCTTTACAGAAGCAGACTGTTTCATCTTTCTCCTATGAAGTGGCTGGTGGGTTCGAGCTGCTTACCTTTTGGTTAGCAGCCTGATGCTTTAACCACAGCGTCACCAGGGCTCCTTTTCATTCCATATGGATAGATCTTAAATTGAGCATAATTCTCAAGGCAGGCATGGTTTACTAGCTAAACTGAACTACTGTTTGGTTTTAAAAAGACTTCATGGGATATTTTTGTTTAAGGTTAAAGATTATCTCAGGGCAGTGGTTGTGGGGGTTCATCCAGCCTCCATGGCTCTGGAAAGTCTGGATTCTAGGAGAATTTGAAAGTCTGTTGCACATTTCTCCATTTGATCAGGATTCTTCTATAGAATCTCAGATCAAAAGAACAGCACCTTGATTTTGATACTCCTTTGATGGCTGTACAAAACCAGTGGTGGCAGGAGTGTTTTGTTGTTGTCATCATGATCTGCCTATCTACCTACCTACCTACGAGCTTTGAGATATAGTTCACATACCACACAATTCATCCATTTCAAGTGTACAGTTCCATGGTTTTTAGTATAATCAGAGCTGTGCAACCATCACTGCAATCAATTTTAGAACACTTTCATCACCCTTAAAAGAAACTCGGTATCCATTATCAATGACTCCCCATTCCTCCCTTCCTCCAGCCCTTGGCAACCACTCATCTACTTCCCCTCTCTCGCTTTGCCTATTCTGGACGTTTCGTATCAATGGAAACTTACAATATGTGGTCCTTTGTGACTGGCTTCTTTCACAGAGCATGTTTTCAAGGCTACCCGTGTTGTAGCATATCGTGCTTAATTCCTTTTTTTATGGCTGAGTAATATTCCCCTGTATGGAGAGACATGTTGTTTATCCACCTTCAGTTCATGGATGTTTGGGTCATTTCCTCCATTTGGCTATTGCCAATAATGCTGCTGTGAAAGGAGTTTTAAGGACACCACGAGACAAGCCCTCCTGTGTCCTGATGTTTTATTTCAGAAGTACCATATTTCACTGCTAGCATCTGGTTCATTCAATGTGAAAACAGAATATCCATAGACAGTATAAACAGTAATCGAAGTACGGGCTCTGGAGTTTGGGTCCCGATTCAAGCATGTGTCTGTTCTGTGACCTTGGGCAACTTTAGTCTCTGGGCTTCACTTTCCTCCCTATGAAATGGGGTGATGGTGGTAGCAACTGCAAGCAGTTACGGGTGAAGAGGTAGTCCACATCTGTCTGTCAGTGCTCCATATATGCTGGCTGTCCCTGTTAGGTATAGGCCCAGGCCACTTTTGCCTGGTTTGGGAGGAATAGCTTCAATATTTGCTCTTAGGGGAGTCACCCCTTTGCTTTATCTGAGCACAGGCCCTTGTCATTGCTGGGATTTCTCTCCAAGCTGCTAACCTGTATGGCTACGTCCTTTGTAAGATGGGAGGCGAGAGTGACATCAGCAAAATCACATCCAGCTTTCTGTCCCAGACGGTGTTCCAGACGGTGAGTTACTGACGTCTGATTCCCAGACCTCTACACTTCGGACCCTCAAGCAAACAAGGCCTGTTGGCAACTGCAGTTTTTAACGTTTTCCATACCAGCCAGCCTGCTGCTATTAGTTTTAAGAGATTTTTTTAAATTATTGAATTTAGAAAGAAAAACCCCACAAGGTTTGTTTTCTTCCACCATACACACCCTTAGCAAATATTTTCAGAAGTGAAGAATGAGTCTCTGTAATTTTGGCCAGGCTCATCCTTAAGCGGTCTGTACAATCCTGTAATGTACAATCGTGGCTCTGCACATGGCTGCCATAGGCGAAGGCCCCCAGCGACCAGCTCGGCAAGCCGTGAGGGCACTGCAGGTCTACTCTGGGCCTGACGTGGCAGAATCTGCCCACTGCCAGTCAGCACAGGAACATGGGTAACTTTTCCCCTTGCAGGCCTGCCCAGGTGACTTCCAGAAGCCCGGCCTTGAGGGGCTGGAGATCCATAAACATTAGGTGAGCAGGGGTCAGGGCAGGGTGTGGACTACCCAGGCCTGGAGAGCCTGGGAGACTTGCAGCATCCCCAGGCCCAGCTGGGCTGATGGCCTGGGGGTGGTCTTCCCCAGTGGCCTGAGGGGGTGGGAGTCAGGCCAGGGACTATGCATCTGGCCTCCTGGGCCTCTGCAGCCTCTTCAGCCATGGTGGAGTGGGGTGGGTGGTCCCACCTTCCTCACACTGAACTTGTGCAAATTCAACCCTATGTGGCAGGCACAAAGGAGTGAAAGAGGGGAAAAAGGTGATACAATGAGAGAGAGAAGGGGGTATGAGAGGGGAGGAGAAGGAGGAAGGGGATGAGAGGAGGGGAGGAGGAAAGGGATGGGAGGAGGGGGAATGCGAGGACGGGGTGGTGAGATGGGAAGGAAAGAACGGGGGTTTCTCATCTTTCTACTCTGGGTCCCCGAGAGAGAAGGTACACGGGAATTTACTCTTTCCTGTGGCTCTCACTTCCTCTGTGGCTCCAACACAGTGAGCACCGCACAGCAGCCATGCGGATTCTAGGGTTTGCATCTGTTTTGCTATGTCATGCCACTTTAACAGAAAATACAATACCTGGGTGGCTTTAACAGACAGTTTATTCTCTTACAGGTTAGGAGGCTAGAAGTCCGAGTTCAAGGTGCCAGCTCTAGGGGCTGCCTCGACCTTGGGCTTCAGCTCTGCCTCTTGCTCCCAGCCCACTGGAGCTAGAGCGTTTCTTCACTCAAGCAGCTGCTGGCTGCTGAGGCTGACAAGCCCAAGGTCAACAAATGAAATGGCACAGTCCCAGTATTACCAAACTCCATGGCAGACCACTAGTTCAAGTCCAGAGACAGTCCTAAGATTGGCAGGAAATACAGCAGGCTGTAAATGAAGACTCAGATACATACAGGGTCCAAGCGTGCCAAAAAGCTGCAGACCATTCGCAAAGCTTCTCCTAATATACAGGAAGCAGACTACATCCCTAAAGCAGCTACACAGCTCTTCGCGGCAGATTCCACCATGGAGCTGATTGCCAGTCTCATCATGGGGAGTAACTACAACCAGCTGCCCAGCCACTCAAAACCAGGCCCACCAAGTTGACACATAACCTTAACTGCCACAGCCTCTCTCTCCTTTCTGATTAAAACCAACATAAATTGTTTTGTATGTGAACTCATTACAGACACAGGAAATTATTAGATCAATTACACGTTATTACTATGAAAAATGTACACACAACCACAAATTCCACCCCACACAGGTGATTCGAGGACTTTTCAAGGGCTACTTCAATGACTCTGGAGTTGATCATATGCGCTGACCTTGAACCTATCCCTGGGCCAACATTCTGCTAAGTTAACCATTTGCACTGTGCTGTCTGAAAATGAGGAGCTCTGGTGGCAGAGCACCTAAGGCACTTGACTGCTAACCAGAAGGCTAGCGGTTCAAACCCACCAACCACTCCTCAGAAGGAAGGTTGGGCAATCTGCTTTCGTAGTGATACTGCCTTGGAAACCCAAGGAGGAGTCGTTGTGAGTTGGCTCCGACTCCATGGCGGTTTGTGCGTGTGCGTGTCTGAAAATGATTAAGTATTTTGCAGTCAGCCCTACGTTCATTCCTTTGTTCTTTTTCAGGTCTATCTACAGAGGCAGAGTTGGCTTCAGTGAGAAGATTTATCCTGAAGAAGCTTCCAGCAAAGAACCCACAATCCTGTAACTTGTTGTTTCTCAAGTGAAGGAAGCCCCAGAGACATTTTGGAGGGGAAATTTTTATTTTCAAAATGGTGTATTTGTCAGGAATGCTCTTTACATATATTCTAAACAAAAGTGTACAAAAATCAGAGGATTAAAGTGTCTCTGGGAAAGTGACCTTGACCATGCCTGAGCCTGGTCCCTGTGCCCGTCATCCCTGCTCTGCTCTGGCGAGCTGCCAGCCGAGCACCTCAGCTCGGTGCCCACTTGTGTCCTTAACATTTTCTGTTTCAGGAATTGATGAGCTTCTCTTCACGTGGAGGGTGCAGACAAAACTCCTGGATTCCTAGAAAAAAGGTGACAAGCACAGAGGCACCAGCAGCTCTTCAGTCCCCAAGGCAGCCGAACTGCCCCTTTGCTGGGAGGGCAGCATCCTGAGAGGGTGCGACCCCCAGGGGCCTAACTCAAGCTGCATTCCAACAGAGGCCCAGAGTCTTCAGCAGTGACCCTAACACTGCACACTGTCTGTCCTTAGTTACAACACATGCCCAAAGCCTGACGTTACCCCATTCAGTACATCCAGAACCCTGGAGCAACGTTACTTACCTTGACACCACTTGACTAGACCAGTAGAAGCCGGCCACAGACGATGTGGCTCAAGCCTTCATAGCTGATGCTTTGCCTGGCCGCCCATGGGCAGAATCAGGCCTGTGTGGGTTTGTTTTTTTTTTTCTTTTTAAACAGTTTTATTGAGATGTATTTCTTATTCCTTAACACCCGCACTCACCATGTGAGTAAACGGTGAGTCAGCTCACGATACTTAAGAATTATTAGACATTTTCTCACCAACGTGATTCCCGGCTTCCTCGCTGAGGGGCGCCACTGCCCAGGTCACCCCAAGCCCACCACCCAGCACTGTCCCTACCCGAGGATGTGTGGCGGTGGCCACTTGTCCTGAGATGGAGGTGGCTTGTGTCACCTCCCAGGCCCGTAGGTTCTGGAGGTTATAAGCTCACCCAGGCACTTACTTTGGATTATACTCCTGTAGGCTAATGTGGCTGGTGAATCCGGGGCTTCACTGAAGAAAGACTGTCCTGTGTCACAACTCTTTCCTTAAAGAAACAAATGAAACATGTTAAATCCATGATGGGAGAACACAGTGCCACGATGACCTCAGGGCTCGTCCCAGTGCTATGACGATGATTTTGCACCAACCCCAACTCTCACACGACAAAGAAAGCTGTGTGAGAAAGCTGGGGTCTCCAGAAACCCAGCCGCTGCCATCCATTCAGCAGACACCCTGCACTAGCCCTTCACTGTGGCTCTCACCTCCATCTGGCTCCACCCATGCCCGGCTCCCTGGTCTTCAGTGTGCCTGGAGTCATCTGGGTGGGGTGTGGCCAATGTAGGCTCCAGGGCCCCATGAGGAACTGACTTGGTGGGCCCAGGACCCTTCATTTTAAAAGATCAACTAGCTCTTTTAAGTAGAAAGATAATAAATGTGTATGGTATAAAAATACGGAACACAAAAGATCATAAAGAGAAAGTTCAAAAGAGGCTCCCAATAATTTGGGTATCTCCAGAAACAATATATGCACAGAAATGTAAATACATATACTTGAAACCACCATACAACACATGTTCTATCCACTGTTTTGTTGTATTTAAATATTTTATTGTTTTCAGTTAAGGTTTCCACAGCAGGTCAGATTCCCATTCAACAATGTCTACATGAGTTGTTCCCTGGCCTTGGTTCCATTCACCATGTGTGAATGCTCCCATTATTTCTGCTCTGGTTATTCCATTTCCATTAAGCTAGGTTCCCTGCCCCCTCATGTTCTCATGTTTATTTGAAGTAATGTTGACCAATGGTCTCATATAGGTGATTTTTAAAAAGAGCACAATACTAACAGATGATTTTTTTTTTTTTTAAATCAATTTGTTATTTAGCTACAAGGTGAATTCAAGGATTACTTGAGGTTCTAGGTTTGAAGAGAATCATGAGGTGACAGTCTCAGGGAATCTTTTTTTTCAAGAAATTGAGGTTCTGTTTCACATTTTCCCCCCATTCCATCGGAGTCCATCTCCTGTGGCCCTGATGAGAATGGTTGGTAGTGGTAGCTAGGCACCAGCTAGTTCTGGTCTCAGGGTAGATGAGACTGTGATTCATGGAGACTATCTGTCCTAGTTTCTTCGGTTTCCTTTTTCTTCTTTTGCTCTGGACAAGTAGATGGCTGCTCACAAGCTTTAAGACCTCAGACACCACTCAACACACTAGGATGCCGAACAGCATGCACCACCTTTTTGATGTGCGATTGGGCCTTGAAGCTCACGCCACACAAGCACCTTTAGATGTGCTAATCTTTCCCCCACCTCGTGGTTGCCCTCTCCAGGGAGGTGCAGCCAGGCCCCTCCGTGGAAGGACAGCTTGTCTCCAAAGCAGCATGTTAGCCAGCGGTCCAGCACGAGGCAGGGCCTCAGACCCTCCTCCAGGAGCCTCTGCCCTGGGAGTTTTCTCCCCTCCTCTGGCTGCTCTGCCAACCCCAATCCTAGGAGACCTGCCTTTCAGCCTGCTCTGCCCCTGCTCCCAGAAGGGGAGCATCACTGAGAGAGAGGACCACGTTGCTGCACCGCCCGCTGCTGCTCTGACCTCAGGTGGGCCCTGGCAAAGCCAACTCTCCAGTGTCACTCCCCGACTGCCAACTGTGCTGCTGGCGGGAGGGAAGAAGGCCTCATTGAGAAGGATGTGGAAGGGGGGTTGTCGCAGATAGGGTTGAGATAGTGGGACCAGGGTGGGACCAGCTCAGGAAGCCCTGAATTCATGTCAGCCAGGATAGGTCTGAGAGGTCAGTGGTCCTAGAACAGTATTCCTTAGATTTCCTATGTTCTGTAGAATCTGCGTGGCAAGGACTGGCTCTGAGAAAATGTGAGGGACCGGTCTGTGGAGACTGCAGCAGCCTGGTCAGTGCAGACACTGCTCACTGAGTGTCTGTCACAGCAGGGAAGCCTAACCACACCACTGGTTTTCTGCATTTTGTGGGAAAAACCATATACCAGAGTATTTCTGAATGTGGGAACAAGGGGGATCTTAGGATACACCCCTCCCTATGCCCAGGGTCTCTGAGGCTCCTCCTGGGGCGATTCCTACATCTTGCCTCGTTAAGTTGTATTCTCAGCTTTCTCCCTGACAGTTCCCCCGGGGTCTCGAGTCTCCCCTTGAGGGTGCAGTACTCCACTGCCAACCACTCCCCTCTCCTGAGCCTGCTGGCTGTAGCACCCCAGAGGAGGCCAGCCCAGACAGCAGCAACCCCTCTGCATTCCCTGTTTCTGTGAGTGATGCCATCTTTCCAAGGACCCATGCTGGACACTACAGACTTCTAGACATCTTTCTCGCCCAGCCATCAAAGCCTGTCAGTTTTCCCTCTTGTGTGTGTCCCTCCCTCTCATACCAACACCTACACCACTGGTCAGGTCCAGACCTCACAACACAGACACCACTGCCTCCTTCCTGCTGGCCCCCATGAGGCTAACCCCAGGTCTCCCCCAAGGAACACAGGGCTGCTCCTCCAGTGTGGCCTCAGAAATCTCACCATTCTTCCCCTAACAAATAAAGAACACCAAGGCTAGGAGCAAAACTGTCTACACCTAGGCCCTAGCCCTGTTACAGCGCCTCTTGCTGCTGCTCCACAGACCCCAGAACCTCCACTAAACACGACATTCCAGCTGCCCGTGAACGGGACCATGTCCCCAGATAAGCGTAACTGAAGCTAGTTCAATGCTGCTGTCTTGAGGAAACAGAACCCCATGCAGCAAGCCTACACCCTGGACTGAGGTAGAGACGGGACCTGGCATTCTGTCTTTGGTTCCCACAGGCCACTCACACACGTGTGTCTCACAGGATCGTGGCTGATTCTGGTTCTTCAAGAGGTGCATTCTTCATGCCACATGGCCTCTGATGCAGGCAATGACTTATCTAGCACTCATGGAGAGAACTAAGGATGTCACACACAGGCCACAAGGGGCTGTGCTGCCTTCTAAGAGGCAGGCCCCTAACTGATTCCTAGTCCATCTCCCAGGCCCAGCCCACCACGCCTCCTCGAGGTCTCCTGGCTCCCTTGGTTATGTGTCCATGTGTTCAGCTGACCCTGCTACCACAGCAGCACAGCCAGCCTCGTGGAGAGGTCAGCTGCAGCTTCAGCTCCTGGACGGTGGGCAGGGTCTGTGTCCAATGCCCCGCTCTGCCGCCCCAGTCCCTGGACCCTCACAGGGCCATGGCAGCGGATCAGGCAATGAAGGCCTCACTTGGCAGTAGTGGGCCGGGACCAGGTGTGCACACTCACCCACCTATTTGTGGATCCAGAGGCACTTTGCCAAGGAGAGGGATCTTCAGGTCCTGGCACATGGCCTCTGCGCCACCAGTCGTGGGGGGGAAGATCTGTGATTCTTTCTGTAAGACCAGTTAAAAGGGGAGCCTATCAGGCTCATGGGAAGGGCCCACCAATTACAGGAACTTAAAAACAATGACTGATCGGAATGCAAAACAACTAACAAGCAAAGGATTTTCATTAAGTCAGCAGTAAAGGGTTTGAACTGTGATTCCACTTCCAGAAAGGATGGAGAGAACTGAAGGGTCTACGGAGGACCATTCCTAATGATATTCTCAAAGGATTTCTGTTTAGGAAACCCAATGACTACACATGCCCTCACCTTACACTTAGGGCAGACGAAGCCGCTCATGTTCTCCACCACGCCAATGATGGGCAGCTTCACCTTGTGGCAGAAGCTGATTTCTTTCCGAACATCCTGGAGTGATACTTCCTGTCAAGGTCGAAGAAGGCCAATTATCCCAAAGCCAAGTGTAAGACATAGAACTTGTCTGTAGGGTTGAAGGGACGGTGGGGTGAAACCTTGGGGCTGTGTCATTCATTCAAGAAATATTCAATAAACACGTATTTAGGGCTTACTATGTGCTAAGCAATGAATAAAGACAATGAATAAAAGAAAACAAAGAGTTGATGCCTTTGAATTGTGGTACTGGCAAAGAATACTGAAAATACCATGGACTGCCAGAAAAGCAAACAAATCTGTTCTAGAAGAAGGGCAGCCGGAATGCTTCTTAGAAGTGAGAATAACCAAACATTGTCTCACCTACTTTAGTCATGTTATTTGGAGGGACCAGTCCTTGGAGAAGGGAATCATGCTTGGTAAATTCGAGGGTCAGCAAAAAAAAATCCACCCTAAACCAGATGGATTAACACAGTGGCTACAACAATGCCCTCAAGCATAAGAATTATAAGGTTGGTGCAGGACTGGGCAATGTTTCATTCTGTTGTGCATGGGGTCACTATGAGTTGAAGTTGATTTACTGGCACCTAACAACAACAGTATGTTCTAAGCAAGAAGCTCTGGTGGCACAGTAGCTAAGTGCTCAGCTGGCAACCAGCCACCCCACAGGAGAATGATGTAGCAGTCTGTTTTATGGGGCAGTTCTACTCTATCCTCCAGGAGAGTTCTGTGAAGATGGTGGAATAGGCAGACAAACTACACAAACCCTCTTCAACAAAGAAAAGGGGAACCAGTTAACACAGATACAGAAGGTAATCCTGGAGCCCTGAGCTTTGAAGGGAAGGATACAGAAGTGGACTAAACTCCAACTAGTAGAAGAACTTGCATCAAAACCATAAAAGGACATGTACAGAGCTGTGGTCTGTCAGCAATCCTAATGGCACAGTTTGGATATCACCAAGTGGTGGTAGTACTGAAGAATTAACCTAAAAATCAGGTAGCAGGGGCTGCACAGAGGACTGCACTGGTGGCTGGTGAATAAAAGGGGAAGCAGTGACCAGAGGGAACAGCCATTTTGAACGTTTTCAAGTGGTTGGACCATTCTGGATATTTAAAGCGACAACGTTCTCTCAGAACCTAAGAGTAGGCTTCACCTGCCAGGACCACAAGGACATTCCGGACACTGAGGACTGGAAAGGTGTGACATTCCCCTTGTTACTTTTATACTCCACACCCTCTTGGTGAATGGAAGTGCAGCCATCCCTCATTCCCACCCACCTTCTGGGCCTGCAGGAATTCCATCCCAGCCTGTGTGCTCTGACCAAGCCTGGGTGCCCTGCCCTACCCAGATTTATTTTCTCTTGTTTGTTTTTGTCTGCTTTAAAATTATTGTTACTATTATTTTTCTTTTTTTCATCCTTTTTATTGTAATTCTTTTTTATTCCCTTCCCAGGTTCTAGTTTCAGCTTTTTTTTCTGTTCCCTGTTGCTGATTCCCAATTTTTCTTTCTTAT